GTGCATTTTTGACTCATTTCACTGAGAGAAAGCTTTTTTCGTCTTAGTCTTATTTTTGACTTCTTTCACTGAGATCAACACTGGAATTGTTCAAAACACTAAAATATACTGCTTCTCAGTACTTCTAAGCTGTTTCAAAGATTATGAAGCTGAACTTTCATGAATTTGCAGAAAATTACCAAGTGGTGCTATTTGACTTATTTCACTGAGAGAAAGCTTTTTTCGTCTTAGTCTTATTTTTGACTTCTTTCACTGAGATCAACACTGGAATTGTTCAAAACACTAAAATATACTGCTTCTCAGTACTTCTAAGCTGTTTCAAAGATTATGAAGCTGAACTTTCATGAATTTGCAGAAAATTACACAGTGGTGCATTTTTGACTTATTTCACTGAGAGAAAGCTTTTTTCGTCTTAGTCTTATTTTTGACTTCTTTCACTGAGATCAACACTAGAATTGTTCAAAACACTAAAATATACTGCTTCTCAGTACTTCTAAGCTGTTTCAAAGATTATGAAGCTGAACTTTCATGAATTTGCAGAAAATTACACAGTGGTGCATTATGACCTATTTCACTGAGAGAAAGCTTTTTTCGTCTTAGTCTTATTTATGACTTCTTTCACTGAGATCAACACTGGAATTGTTCAAAACACTAAAATATACTGCTTCTCAGAACTTCTATGCTGTTTCAAAGATTATAAAGCTGAAATTTTATGATTTTGCTCTACACGCGAAAATGTTTTCGTTGGGACTTTCTACAAGCGCAGGAAAAGTCAAAATCTAGTTTGGTAAACCACTTTCCTCTCCTGAAGCGACTTCAACAGCACCCTGTTGAAGAACAATCTGCATTGTGCCTCTTGATGTGAAAGAGTGGCTTTAATCATTGATCATTTTCCAACATGGGAAGCCCAACAGAGATGCAAAATATTTAATTTTATGTTTATTAATATTAAATATTTAAAATATTTTCATATTTATTTATTATCAGAAGAGGGGATTGTCGAGGAATAATTACGATAAGGTCAAATCTGCAAGTCATGTCATATGAAATGTTTGTGAACTCTCACCAAAAGGACTATTTGGCTTACTTGTAAGAGGTTGGAAGGTTGTTTTCCACAGCTCTGTAAGGACCAGCCATCTTGCCACTTGTTTTCCTTCCTAATCATTGTATAAAAACATGTTGTTAAGCTGGCAGAGTTTAGTGAGCTGGGTTAGACTTGAATCCAGACGGGCTTGATTATTGATTGTCTTATGTGCTCTCATAGTTGTGCACAATGCATGTGTAAACTTGATTGAGTGGTTCTACCTGAACAGTGCTTGGAAAGAGTTTTTTCTCCTCGATATGCAGGAATTAGACTTTGTTTATTGAACATTGTATGTCACTAAGGCTCCCCAACCAAAGAACTATTGCTGGTCCACTGGCAAGTAGTCAAAGTGGGGAGTGAAGATTAAGATAAATATTAAAAGAGCTCCAGAGAGAGGAAGAAAAGAAAGACAAGATCAGGGCAGGTAGCTTTGGATCATGACCTAGCTTGTCATTAATACAAGCTAGGTCACAAATACATACGAGTAGGACGAAAACTACACTGCTCTTACTGTATCCAAGATTTGAATATCTGAGGGACCCTCCTCTCCAGGACCCCTGAATATACCTTGCCAGGGAGGCTTAAAAGCGTGACCCCTCTGTAATTGGAACACACCCTTCGGTCCCTCTTTTTGAACACGGGGACCACCACCCCTGTCTGCCAATCCAGTGGAACTACCCCGATGTCCATGCAATATTGCAGTCATGTCAGCCAACACAACCCTACAACATCCAGTTTTACTACTGCTTCTCAGCATTTCTATGCTGTTTCAAAGATAAGGCCAGAGATAGGAGTTAAAGCTCCATCTCACAGAAAATTTACATAACATCTCAGAATGTGTTTATTATTAATTCAATGGGCCATCATTATTCCATTGTTATTCCAATGTTTTTGTGACACTGGCTTAGTGTAGCTTCTACTACACTTCCTTTCAAGTTGTCACTCACACACCTGCCCTACTCCCTCCTTTGTCAAGAACATTTCGACTTCTTCGTACTGGGCAGCAGCAGCTCACCTGAATTCTTCCTCAATCTGTCCCTGGTCATGCCTCTCATCATCCTAACTTCGACCATAATAAATCCCCTGAAACGTTACTTCTCTCTCCTTCTCCGCTACTGAAGGAGGAAGAGTCTGCTCCAGCGGGTAAAGTTTGTGTGGTAAACATATTGGTTAATTTGACACATTTTTCTGAATGGGCTAATGCTTTATTTAGCTTTTGTTTTCGTAGAAAATTTAACACCTGCTCACTTTTAGCTGAATTGCTGCTAATCTTGGAGGGGAGGTGCAGGCCAAGGAGGACTGAGGGATTTTATTGGATAAGCCCAAAATGCCTAAATAAAATCGACCAATGGCCTGTTGTGCTTGATTAAAATTTTTCTTTAATTTAATATACTTTTCTTGTTAAATTATGACAGTTCATATGTAGAATGTGCATAACTCTGTCCTCCAGACGGTCAGTCCTGCCTTGGTCAGAAGTTCAAACTGAGTGTAGTGGGTTTTTTTTCCTTTTCAAGTTGTCAACCCACCATGGTGGCAGGTGTGTTGCTCCAATACATGCCAGGTCATACTTTTACCCACATTTGGCCATTTGGGTGCTAATTTCCTCCCCGGATTGCATTACATTTAATATTCTGTTCTGTAATTCTCATTCTGACAACTCCTCTGCTTCTTGTGACCCATTGTGATCCAGCCTTCTATCACCTGAAGAACATCTCCAGGATTAGAGGACTAATGTCTCAGCCAGATTTAGTGAAACTCATCCATGTGTTTATCTTTAGTCGCATTGATTATTGCAACAGCGTCTTCACAGGCCTGTCCAACAAATCAATCCTCCAGCTGCAGCTGATCCAGAAGCTGCTGCTCCTGTTCTCACTAAAACCAGGAAGATAGAGACATAACAGCAGTTTTAAAGTCCCTCCACTGGCTCCCTGTAGCTCAAAGAATAGATTTTAAAATACTGTTGTCAGTTTATAAATCACTGAACGGTTTAACACCACAATACATTAAAGATCTGCTGTTGTTGTATCAATCTTCCAGACCTCTCTGGTTCTGGTTCTGCTTTGAATCCCCAGAACCAGAACCAAGAGAGGAGAAGCAGCTTTCAGCATCTATGGACCAAAAATTTGGAACAAACTTCCAGAAAACTGAAAACAGCAGAAACCCTGACTTCCTTTAAATCTCAACTAAAAACACACCTGTTTAGTTTTATTTGAAATGTAATATGTAACAATGTATTGTTTTATTCCGTGATGCATGACTTTGTGTTTATGATGTAAAGCACTTTGAGGAGTTAAAGTGCTATACAAATAACATTTGATTTGATTTGATTTGATCACCAATCACTACAAGTGACTACTAGTCACCCTTACCTAGGCAAATTGACTGATTACAAGGTTGAAGACATCTGTAATGCTTAGAGGAAACGTATCAGTTCAACATGTTCCTAAAAGTATTTATAATCCTTTCAAGAGGTATCATTTTTGCCCAGGCATGTTTCACTAGCTTATATTTCTTTTAATTCTGATGAAAATACATCAAAGGCAATGCCTTATTTTCATTGATTCATTTGTCTTATTTTCATTGGCTCATTTCAGCAAATTACTTTTGTCAGTCTAAAGTTACTTCAAGTTACTGACCAATGTGGAATTTAGTCTCATTACAGAGGAGTACCAGAAATTTCCTCCACATGTGCAAATCCAGACTGAGAGTGTTTATCTTTAACAATCACTCTAATACCTAATCATTGTCTAACCAGAATTTCATCAGCTTCTATCTGTCATACATGACACACACAACCAATTACAAGCAAAACAAAAGGGTAGAAGAAGCAAAACTGAAATGTAGCCAGTGTTCTCAGTACCATCGCTAATACACATCATGGAACATCATGAACCCCTCCACAAAACAACCCTTTTTGGCTTGATTTAATTGAACCAATTAGGTTTTGAGTGCAATACACAAAGCAGAAAGTGGCTGTATACTCCAAATAAGTTGAATGGAACATTGCCAGCTGTGCTCCAGTCTCCTGCCTGATGTTAAATTTGATGGTCAAAAAGAACACATTCACAAAAAAGTACCTTATAGATACAGAAGTTCTGTGATATCATCTCCTCATAGTTACCCCCTCCTTCATCTTGAAAATTTTGTCTTAATATTTCTCAAAGCCGACTCGCACCAGTATTCCTCCCATTGTTTCCTCATCTGAGGCAGATGAAGTCAGGACCGGTAGAGAAAAACCGAACATTACATTGAAGGTAAATCTATTTTGCAATTAATCTGTTTCTTTCTAATTTGTTCATAACTAGTAATGAACAACATAAGATAACTTGGCCTTAAGATAATCTTATGGCAAAAAACTGAAAAAGTCAACACTCAGATTGCTGATTTTACTTTTGTGCGTTATAGAAAAGGACACATTTTCATGATCTGGTAAGTGTTATGGAAGACCTCCAAATGACCCTGTGTCCAAAAACACAGGGTCAGACCCTGTGTCCAAAAACACAGGGTCAGAGAAGACTCAAGGATCCAGCAGGGAAAAAGTTACAGAAAGGAATACATTCACACAGGCTGAAACCAATTCAAGGGGAAGGATGACACAGGAGAGATAAATAATCAAATAACAAAAGAAAAAAAAAACTTGAAACGAACCAGGACCATGACACAAATATGTCAGTAACTGATAAATTAGAAAAACAATAAAAAATAAGAGTTTTTTTTGTTTGTTTGTTGTTTTTTTGCAAAGCATAACTTTGTAAAGATTTGTTTTTCATCTAACTCTAATGTGAGTAAAGGGGAAAAAAATATAATTATTGTTAACATACTGATGTTAAATAAATAAAAAATGCCATATGATAACAGTGCAATTAGAGGATTTCTAATACTTCTTATAATTAAATAATATCAATAGGAACCTAACAGCAGTCCCACTTCTTCTGAGCTGATATTGGCAACTTTGTGGATGGGGCGAGGAAATGTGGGGGGTTCACCAGAAAGGTGGTTCGGCCAACCTGGCAAGGAAAAAAAAAGAAAACATAAAGCATCAGTAGTATCAGAATAACAATCAAATTGGAGAAGAAAGGTGGATAATGAGATTTCATTTAGGATATTTGGATTGTTTGTGAATTTGTAGGAAAGACAGAATTGTGAAAAAAGTTGAAATTTTACTGAACACATCCTCAGTCTCATTTGTGGTCGTTGGTCCTGAGAAGAACATTACCCACATTCAACATCTGTGAATGTGGGATTCTTTCCATTGTCTGATAAACAGCCTGATAGCAAATACCTACCTGATTCGCTAGCTCAGCAAGTGTGTGTTCCGTCTATTCAGATGTCTCATGGAGCTCTTTCAGGTGTTTTGTGCCAATCATATGTCCTGCTGTTCCATCTCCACCCTACATAGATGAGTCTGTCACCTTCAAAGATAAAGAGAGAGAGAGAGTCTTGTGCACAAAAAAAGCATACATGAGAAGGGAGAGAGAAACATCTGAAGGAAAGTCAAAGACACACACAAAGTCTAATCAGTCCCTACAGGAGCTTCCATAGCACCAATGGGAAACAGTGTGGCTTCTGTTCAAAGGTGATAACCATAGCAAGAACATCATTTTTTTCATTCTTTTTCAGCCAGCTTCCTTCATGCTGTCCTCCAAAGCAGCATGTGAAGGCAATCCCACTTCTTCTGAGCTGAGTGCCTCTCCACATCAGCCTCATCAGGAGACAACCTGCTGGGAAAAACTCTTCTTTGCTTAATCTTTTCTTTCTTCCTTTATTTTCTTGGTTTCTTTATTCTTGCTTTCTTTCTTTGATTTTTCTCTGTTCTTTTCTTTTTCTTTGCTCCCTACCCTTCTTTCTACTGTATTGCCTGCTGGGAGTGTTGGTTAATTACTAAAGTATTGAAGAACCCCTTACTAGATTAAAACACACTGTTCCCAAGTTATTCATTATTTGCAATTTCGGGCAAAATAAACAAAAATCTAATGGTACATGGTTTGGGGTATTGCAGTGCTATATGCAGATATATGCTGTAAATCTGCTTTAAAAGCTTTAAATACAGCTGGTTGCTTGGTTTCTTTCGCAAGATCTGGCAACACACTGTGCTTGCTGTATGTCGTGAGTCTGTGAGATTGTGGAAGAGTTGTCTCTGTATGACATACATGTATGTCATACATGTATGTATTTCTTTCAATACATGAAAGAAAAGTTTTTGATCTTTTCTTTTCTGTATTGTTTGTCAAATATCTTTATTTCCACTGACTCTATATCTTCATTTTTATTTTTAACACTTACAACGCTGTTTACGGGGATGGGGTCTTCAGGGGTGATGAGAATGGGATTCAGATTCAACCTAATCTATCAATTCCAGTTGAGACAGTTCTCCTGGTTGTTGGTGATTTTGTTAGCCAAATCAATTTATTGCTTCAAGAATGAATAATAGAGTGGTGATATTTTTGAAAGAGGACTGTTTTGCGACTTAGCTGCTTGTTGTCCTGAATGTTCATCCCTAACAATTTCAAATCTCTGCGTTTGATGTAAACATGACAATCAAACATTTTCAATCTTTTCGGCGGCATGTATTTATGTTCCTACTACTATCTCCTACTCTCTAAGTCAAATAAATTTAGTGAATTTTATATTTTGAACCTAAATGTGTAAGTTTGTGAAAGATACACTTACAGTAGTAAATTGTGTTAACTTTTCATCAATTTTGTCAAACTGCCAATAGTTGAATAAACTAGAGTTTTGAGGTTAGCACTTAAAAAAAACGAAAGAAGAAAAAGACAGGAGTGGGAACTATTTCCCAGAGTGCTTAGTGGCATGTTTTTGTATCCCGTTGCATCGTGAGTGAGATGGAAGTGTGTACATTGATATGTCTCCTGTGTGTTAAGGCAAGTGCTTATTTTAATTCAACTGACAGTTTGAAAAGCTTCAAGATAATGTTCTATTCACATTAAATGTTTTTGAGCAGAATTCATTTTGATGTTTAATAAAATTCATTATCAGATCAGAAAATTTGTTCATGCAATTTGAAACAAGAATTTAAGTTATTCTATAGTAAAATAAGTAGTTGCATTAACTTGATAATGTTAAAATAGATAAATGTGTGCTCTTTAACTAGGTGAGAGCAGATCGTTTTTTTCTTGCATATTGTGAAATAATTATTTGGTTTAAATTGCAGCATTAAGTCAAAACTCATAATTCATAATTTGATACCGATAGGGCGATATGTGTGGGCATGACGTCGATTTCAAAATTGGTTTGGGGTCAAAAATCCACTTCATTTTTCACTCTGGTGGAGCGGCAGTTGGTGGCAGTTATGCTCTGTGTTTTGGCAGTTGGAAATTTAGCTCGTTTTTCGCTTTTTACATCGCCATCGTAACTCCAATTCTCCATATAATTAATAGCACCCCTCCCGGTGCTGAGCCGCAAATTTTGATACCACTTTTGTGGGTGGAACGCAGCGGTACGAGTTGCATTCCGGTTGATGGAAGAAAAATAATTTTCTTGAATCTTTTCTCAGTGTCTGACATTGCATCTCCTCAGAGAGAAACTATGGCGGGAATTTCCTATGCAGTAATATTATGGCTCCTCCTTGCAGGAGCTTTGTGCTGGAGACTGACCTCTGACCTTACCTTGATGCCCATTAGGTGAAATGCAGAAGGAGAATTAAAGAACAACTGATGCCAGCTTGAGCTCTGGGATCAGTTGCCAGAGCTTGAAATCCACATAGGTCAAAATTGCACAGATCTGGTTACGAGTGCACAAGACGCTTAAGTCTTGCTTCTTTGTTTGACAACCTGTTTATCCAGCCAGCGAACCATTCCGCCACCGAGTGGTCATTTTATTAACCACGCAATCTCATCTATACCACTCTAAAATCCACAAATGTCTATAAAGAATTTTGGAGTATTATAAAATAAGGACTGAAATATTCAATTTTCCAACAAATATAATGTCTTTGTCACTTTGGCACAAGCACAGTGATAAACTTTCAGAGGATGAAAACACTAGATTCTGAGCAAAAGTCATATGACCCAGCTTTCCAACAGCATTTAAACACCCCATTTATGCACAAATCTGAAGCTGTTGGAGCTTGACATGAGTCTCAAAATAATGGTGCACTCGTAACCGTATCTGTGCATAAAGGCAGTTTTGTCTGCGTGTATCAGGCAATTTATTTAACATTTGTAAGCATAAAAGATTTGAATTCGTTATTATCAGATTTATGAGGTTGTAGTTGAATAAGTACCCAGAGAAATCTTCTTTTACTGTTTACAAATCCAGTATTACACACGTACAGGTATTTTGAGTGTGCTTTCAATTAACAATCAACACAAAATAACTATAAAAAGCCAACATATATATTACAATAAGGTCACATCTGCCTGTGTAACCTTTTTAATAATTATGGCTTTTTCATCAGTACTCTGCGTTATGTGAATATGGACCAGGAGACCGGATGATACAAGATGTAGTTTATCTGTATGAAACAGGATATAAAATAATCAGGGACCAGGTTCATCACCGGCAGTACAGCACCTTACGAGGAATAGTATTTTATGTTAGCAACAAACTAACAGAACATTTTACAGGACCGTTACAATGTTCCCAGTGAACCTACCTCGCGCCCATCTCTCATGAACTGGCAACGAGATATCCATGTTCACTATATTTAACATTGCCAACCACCAGGAGGGGGTGCTGTTTCACCCATTACACCTGAACCCAAACTTGGAAGTAAAGACAAATGGAATTCTGTACAATATTAACTACGTTACACCTGCCAGGATGCATAACATCATGTCTGATCAAAGACCAGTTCTAATAGGAGGGTAGGAGGAGGTATTTTTTATATATGCTAACTCTCCCTGTGATGTTTTACGTGTGATATTAATTTATCAAATCAGACATGATCAACAAGATTTGACTTTTTGGACAAAAGCAATTTTAATGTCAAAATGAAATCTGATTTCTTCAAAATAATGGCAATTACTTAAAAATATTTAACATAAAATAAGTAAGTGGACACCTCTGGCTGGAATCAGTGTGGATGGCTCTACAGTGTCTGAAGTCTGCATACTTTCTGCAGTCATATGATCTCCATTCCACTCATTGCAAGAATACTCGCAACTGGACCTCTGTTGAATTAAGTCAGAGTAAGTTCACACACTTTATAGGGTGTTAATATCCGTGCTAAATTTAGTGTTCAGATTTCCATTTTGATTGTCATTGTTTTGTAGATATGAAAACAATGACAATGTTGGCATATTAGCATTAAAGAATTTTTTGTCAAAAAAGCTAATTTTTGACAACTTGATTGTGAAAACAATAAAAGGGTTAAATATCCAAAGGGCTGAATACTTTTTATGTAAAAATGTATTCTGAATGTAATGTCAGACAGTGTGAATAAATCGTGTGTTGATAGAAGGCTTCTTCAGGTTTTTAGGACTTCTAGATTTAACAGTTTCCCTGTTGCAGTATCTCCAGGATGTGTGTGAACTGTGTGTCTAGAGTACAACAGTCTGCACAACTTTACAGTGCTGTCTCAAAAGCTCCTAACACAGGAAAGGAAGACACTGACAAGTAGATCACTGCAGAATATTTATTGTCTTCATTTTGTTTTACATAGAAACACATGAAAACGACTGAACAGAAGCAGGAACAACACACGCATGTAATGTGAAGTTTCTGCTGCTGTGTCATAAAAACTGGTGTGAGAGATCTCCAGGGTTTATGCAGAAAACAGATCATAACGGGCCTTTTACTTGAGATTTGAAGGAAATCTCAAGTAAATCAATGCGACTAAGATAAACGCATGAATGAGTTTCTCTAGATCTCTAGAGTTTCTCTAGATCTGGCTGAGACATTAGTCCTCTAATCCTGGAGATGTTCTTCAGGTGATAGAAGGCCGATTTTGTTACTGTCTTTATGTGGCTCTGGAGGTTCAAGTCCAAGTCCATCACTACTCCCAGGTTTCGGGCCTGATTGTTAGTTTTTAGTTGTAATAACTGAAGCTGTGCATTGACTTTAGATCGTTCCTCTTTAGGTCCAAAAATAATGACTTCAGTTTTATTTTTGTTCAGTTGGAGAAAGTTTTGGCACATCCACATATTTATCTGCTCTAAGCATTTATCAGTGATTGGATGGGTTCAGCGTCACCTGGTGACATTGTAATGTAGAGCTGTGTGTCATCGCATAGTTGTGGTAGCTAATATTATTACCTTTTATAACCTGAGCTAGTGGGAGAATATAAATATTGAATAAGAGGGGTCCTAGGACTGAACCTTGGGGTACCCCACATGTGACCTTTGACCTCTTTGATGAGAAGTTTCCAACTGAAACAAAGAAATTCCTGTTCTTTATGTAGGATTCAAACCAGTCGAGCACCGAACTGGAGAGTCCAACCCAACTCTCCAGT